GGGTGGTGCTGCCCTAGAGAACACCCTTCTGTCATCACACTTAGCCACGCAGCTCCTCTCTCCTTGGACGTCCCCCACCCCCGTCCACTTCGGGAAGGAAACCCACACCAGCTTCGGGGGCCTAGCAGCAACAGTGACTGCAGACTCCTGATCAAACCCAAAATCACAGAGGCATCAGTGACGCCATGGGACAAAGGGGAACGTTTTTTGAGAATGAAGTTTAGTGATGTGTGAAGTGCATAGAGAATATTACGGGGGAAAACAGAAGACCAAGCAATATATAAAACATTCCAGTTTTGTGTAGCTCTATCTGGCCATATCTGAATGTGGAAATTAAAAAAGCTTTTTCCTTCTTTGTTTATACTATTCTGCTTATTCTGGTTGGTACAATTAATTCCATACATTTTTTAATATATATAATTAGAAAAACAGGTGTGTTTTTAGAAGGGAAGAAACTTCCCAAAATTGACAAGAGGAGGAATGATTCTGCTTGACATTCAGGAGCTGCAGTTTGGGTAGATCCAGTTTATCTGTAGATTCTTCCCTGTCCCCCACCTCTGCCGTTTTTGGAGGCAGAATTATGGGGGAGGGGTGATTTTATAACCGGAGGTGACAGCTAACAAAATTATTGCCAACATGAATGTCTGGGTGTGTTCTTACACTGCTATAACTATGTGTGCTCTCGCCCCAACTGCATTCTCAGTCCTCGAGGACAAGGTATTATCTTCTGTTTCTTGGTTTCTCCGACAGCCCCTTGGCCAGCACTGACCCACGGACTGACAGATTAGCTGACCTTGCCGTCACTCTTATGCCCACGAAATGTGTTAACATCTTGCTTCATTTTGCTTTTGGTCCGAGAGGTAGAGTTCCATCCAAATTCACTCCACGAAATCCAACAGCTGGAATACAGGAGCCATTCATCAGAAAATGGGTTAGGCTTTTTCAGGATTTGTGTGTGTGGCAAGACCCTAACGGAATTTTTAAAAATTTTGTTAGTTTTATGGAAGTAGCACTGGGAAGAGGGTCTGTTAAAGCTCTTGGATTTGACCACAGCCATCCACACCAGTGTACTTGGCATCTCCAGTGACTGGCTTCTCGGAGGGAGGGATTTAATAAAGAGGATTTTCTTTCCCCAAGTTGGCTGTGAGAGTGATCCAGCATGCTTGCGGGGCCATTCTGGTTTCAACTGTTTTTCGTGTCAGCCAAGACATCCGCAGGCAAGAATTACAGTCTACTCTGCCTTCTGATGCCGATCCAGGCAGCCGGGGCAGTCTGGGGGATGGAACCCGGTGTGTTCTCCACATGACCGACCTTCTGTACTCACACATCACTACACTCAGATGGAGGCTGAAGCCAGGCAACATTCCTGCTCTCTTAGAAGCAGGAGAGAAGATAGGGAAGAGAGAGAATTGGTTTTCACGAAAGGCCAATGAAGGTCTCTATCCGTGTGCCTGACATACCTGAATGATTAACGTCCCTATTTGGGGAGTTGTGGCACTTGAGTGAGAAATGGCTTCTCTTCTTGGAAGGGTAACAGTACACTGAGGAACATTATTGGGGAATTGATGGGTGACAAATCTGAGCAGAGCCAGCAGAGTGATAGAAAGAGCAAATATTGTCTCTTCTCCTCAGTGAGGAGGCATTACATTCTAATAAACCAGCCATGGTGGTCCACGGTCATGCTTTCCTCCTGATATGTGTGTCTGGCCACCAGGTACCCCAAATCAAGATCAGTCCAAGGAGCCTCCCAAGCCACAAAGCCGCTCATCCCAGGTTCCTTCAAACCACTCAAACTTGTTGCTGTTTTGAGCCTGCGCGGGGGTGAGTGAAGAAATCAAGATATGCGTTAATTAGTGCAGGATCTAGCAACCAATATGGGCAAGATACATACAGCTCAGATCCCCACAGGGACAAGAATGTTCCAGAGAATTTTGCCTGGGAAGTGGGTATGCACCTCATGCCTGTTGCCATGTCCATTCTCACATTGGGTTATTATTGAAGGACTTACCTGTTGCCCTTTTGAACATTTTATTTCTCTTAATAACTAGGGTTTTTTTAATTTTTGAGGACTAGGTTGTTATAAAATCATGTCACTTTTTAATTTTACTTAACAAACACATGTATTATATTAAAAAAATATACAAGTATTATATAATTATGTTATCAAATTATATTCTATAATATGTACATATGAACTCATTTAATCTTCATAATAACTCCTGTGAAGTGTAGGTACTACTTTTAGCCCCATTTTACAGATTAGAAAATAGATACTGGGAGGCTAAGTAATTCACTAAGATTACACAGTGGGTAAGTGGGTAAGTAGGACTCGAACCCAGGATGTCTGGCTCCAGCACATTTGCTCCTCACCACTACTAAAACTCAGAAAAATATAAAGCCAAAAAACCAGCCTAAAGACAACCATAGGAAGGTGGCCGTACCAGGGCGCCTGGGTGGCTCGATGGGTTAAGCGCGTCCGACTCTTGATTTCGGCTCAGGCGGTGATCTCAGGGTCTTGAAATCCCGCTTAAGGATCTAGCAAAACCTCCATGTTGGGATCCTGCTTAAGATTCTCTCTCTCCCACTCCTGTCCCTCCCCATTCTCTCTCTCCCTCTCCCCTTCCCCGCCGCTCACGTGCTTTTCTCTCTCTTTTGCTCTCTGCTTTAAAAAAAACAAAGAAGAAACATTGCCTCGCCATCCATGCTATGCATGGACTTGCCCATGACTGCGCCCAGTCTCCACATTCAGTTTTGTATCTTGCTTTTGTTTTCTTCTGAACCTTATATAATGGTCTTTCCCTGTTGTTAAAAACTCCTTGTAAATACTGTTTTAGTGCCTACTTAATGTTCCCATCATGTAAACGTACCACTCTGCTGAATCATTCCCTTACGGTTGCCCGTTTGGCTCTTCGGTTTTCTGTTCTGACTAGCACTGTAACGACTACCTCTGTGCAGAACTTCTTCTGTTCTTTGGAATAGACTCTGAGAATACCTCCTCAGAAGTAAAATCCCCAGGTCCAGGTGTACGAGTAGGAACACTTTTCAGGCTCTAGATACAGGTTGTCCAGTGGTTTTCCAAGAAGCTTGCGCCTTCACAGTGTCTGCAACACTGGACAGAAGTGACTTTGTCATTCTCACACCTGCACCGAGAATGACTTCTAGAAATCTTTGCTAATGTGATAGGTAGAATGTGGTATTTTATTATTGTCTTCGTTGTATTTCTTTGTTGGCTAGAGGATTGAGTTGGTTCATATTGGTGGATCAGTTATCTGCATCCTCAGGTGGTCTAGTTGGGTCCTTTGCCCATCTGTCTGTCGAGATCCTAAGAAGCCTTTGGAGATCCAACAGAGACGGGCGAATGGTTTCCCATTCTTTCTTCTCCTGCCTTGACATGGTATCCCCCTGAATATTTTTCTAGTCTATACGTCTATACATGCTTTTAATCTTCCCCCCAAACCTTATGTGCATTTTTCTCTGGATTCCGTATAAAGTATTCTGTCTGCTTTGAAAGGATAGTACTTCATTTTCTGTGAGTGTGCCCCATGCATAAATCCACATGGGTCCCTCCGTCTTGGATCATAAGCTCCTAGAGGGCCAGACTGTGTCTTTAGGAGCAGTTCTGCACACATGCTTTGGGGACGTCCCCAGCAGCCACAGAGCCCCTGGCCAAAGGTGATGTGAGCATTTACACAGGCCACCTGGAGAACACTAACCAGAAATGGGAGGGTGATGAGCATAGTAGGCTGGATGCGTCGCCGTGCCCTGGTTATACTTCAAGAGAGCTGAAAAAAAAAAAACCCAGATAACACCTCCCCTACCTATTGATCATTAAGAAGGGGCTGTTCTAGTGGAGGAAGGCACATAGGACTAGGGAACCAAAGCCCATGAATTGGTCCTGTGTTCTCCATCATTATGAACCATCAATATGAACCATGGGTCACATTCTCTACTAATCCCTCATGGGTTTTTCTACCAGAGTAGTGATATCAGTAATAACTGATGTTCTGAAGCACCTTAAAATGTTATATATGGTCTTTCTTTGCCCCAAATCTTCACAATAGTCAGTGGAAACAGTCACGTTTTGCAGTTGAGCAAACAGATACAGTGAGATGCAACTCTCCCTTCAATAAAGCATCAAGTGAAGATTTCATTATTAGATTTGCAAAAGCATATTATGCTCCAGGAAAACAGTCCATTGACTTACATGTGTCATGAGGCCAAGAGGAAGAAGGAAAAGGTAAGGTATCTTGGGGTGTGGAGGGATCGTGGAAAAGGACCACAAACACCCCCCAGGAAACCTCTGTCACACAAGAAAAAAACAATGAAAGAGTTTAATGAAACAAAATCAGCAGAATGTTGATGATTATTTTCAAATATTAAGCAATCTTTCCTCAAATTTCTTCATTACATGGTATCTTCCAGTTGTTCCAGTTCCTGCAAAGATTAAGAATAATAATACAGCACATCCCATCCTAAGGGATACTCTGTGTACCTATTCAAAATAGTCAAAAGTCTATAAATGTGTATGAACTTATCTGTTAGAAGGACAGTTGGGTGGATAGATCTATGTTGTTGTTGTTTTCAGGTGGGCCTTGTTAAGAGCGTGTTTCAGGTTTCACCAAATGTGAAAAGCAGAATCGAATATAAGATAAAGGAAGTTAAGATAGGCTCAAAACCTGGTGGCAGGGATGGGGTAGGCATGTTCTCTGCGGGTCAGGCCTGCCGTCTCCGGGCTCTTGAGAGCATCTAGGGGAGGGCAGAGGCTGTTCAGCTGCCCATCCTGGAGCAGCAGGTAAAAATGTCAGAAGCCAACTAGCTTTGACAGCCCCTGAAGGTAGAAGAGCTTCTGGCTCAAAGTGTGCATTTCAGAGGCTTGCTCCGAAGATTTCACAGGTGGGCTTAAGAGTGAGAGGCCACTTGTCACGTGGGGGTCTCGCTGCACCAGGGTGGTACTGGGGACTTAGGCTCTGCAGAAGCTCACGGCCATGCTTGCATTGCAGGATTTTACGGGCAGCTACAGACATTCCGCCCCCCCCAGTATCCCGACTCCCAGAGAGCCATGCTGCCCAGCAGCCCCTGCAGCGGGGTGCCTTCCTTCGAGGACTGCCTGGCCCCCACGCCCATGGGGCAGGCCGGCTTTGACGTGTTCCACAGAGCCTTCTCTGCTCACTCGGGCATTGCAGGTGGGTGGCTGTCTGTGACTTAGAAACTCTGGCAGACTCGCAGGTGGGACCAGGTGGGTTTGCCGTGTCTGGCCTAGACGAGGCTTGACCTGGCACATGACTGCATCATGTCCTGTTGAATCTGCCCCTGAAATGTCTCTAACTTTCATGCTCCTCTCCAGCCCTACTCCCACCGCCCTGGCTCAGGGGGCCATAGTGTCTCTCCCAGACCGTGGCAATAGCCATAGCCTTCCAGCAAGTTCCCTGAGTCAACTGTCTTTTTTTTTTTTTTTTTAAGATT